TTCAGTGGTTTTTAGTACATTTAGATTTGTGCAAGCATTACCACTATACAATTTGAGAACATTTTCTCATATTTGATTCACTGTAGATTTTGTTTTTTTGAGATGGAGTCTCGCTCTGGTGCCCAGACTAGAGTGCAGTGGCCTGATCTAGGTTCACTGCAACCTCTGCCACCCAGGTTCAAGTGATTATCATTCCTCAGCCTCCTGAGTAGCTGGAATTACAGGCGTCCGCAACCACCCCCAGCTAATTTTTGTATTTTTAGTAGAGACGAGGTTTCACCACATTGGCCAGCCTGGTCTTGAACTCCTGACCTCAAATAATCTGCCCACCTTAGCCTCCCAAAGTGCTGGGATTATAGGTATGAGCCACCACACCCAGCCTGCAAGATTTTCTTAGAAGTACAAGAGAACAACTAAGTATGTGCAACTAAGAACACTAAGAAAGAGCTAGAGATCTCAAATGAACCTGGAGTCAGTGTGTTGTGCTGCTGTGTAGTCTTACAAGGGGAACTGCATTGCAAGTAATAAGATTATGACATATATCGTGGAACTTTACATGGTCATATGGCCAGCAGGATAAACACACGAGTAATAGAAGGCTCTGTTCTGAAAGCATGAGTCTTACAATTCCATTACAGCATGGTACAATACTTAAGAAAGAAAAGTACTAAACTATTAAACAAATTCCATTAAGAACTGCTAAAGAAATTTACAACTAGTGGTTTCCTATTTTGTGTATGTGACATGATGGAGAAAAAAAACACTGCAGTTCAAATGATAATCACGTATTAAGGAAATAAGAAAAGCTGAAGTAATCTTATAAATTAGGTAATGTATATAAAATCATTTTAAGAGTTCCAAAGGATTTACAGACATGAGCTACTGTTACCAGGTAAACAAATTCAAGGGATATCATAGCTATATAATAAGATCTATCAACCACACTCTTATCATTTTATGGAAATAAAGATTTATAGTAAAAATACTTACACTTGTACAGTATTTCTCATTTTTAAAAAAGTTACACATGTACAAGGAGTAAATTCAAATACTGCAATAGTATAAACTGTGCAAAGTATTCTTGACACATAGGTCCTCAATTCTTAACTTGAAAGGCATACTTTCTGGTTTTTGTTTTTGTTTTTTTTTTTTGAGACGGAGTTTTGCTCTTGTTACCTAGGCTGGAGTGCAATGGCTTGATCTCGGCTCACCACAACCTCCGCCTCCTGGGTTCAAGCAATTCTCCTGCCTCAGCCTCCTAAGTAGCTGGGATTACAGGCACGCGCCACCATGCCCAGCTAATTTTTTGTATCTTTAGTAGAGACGGGGTTTCACCATGTTGACCAGGATGGTCTCGATCTCTTGACCTCGTGATCCACCCACCTCAGCCTCCCAAAGTGCTGGGATTACAGGCTTGAGCCACCGCGCCCAGCCTCTGGTTTTTAATATATTCATGTTTTATGAATTTTATTTCAATATATCTGTTCACTTTTTTTTTTTTTGGAGATGGAGTCTCCCTCTGTCACCCAGGCTGGAGTGCAGTGCCACAATTTTGGTTCACTGCAACCTCTGCCTCCTGGGTTCAAATGATTCTCTTGCCTCAGCCTCCTCAAGTAGCTGGAACTACAGGTGCACACCACCACGCCTAGATTTTTTTTTTTTTTTTTTTTTTTTTTGTATTTTAAGTAGAGATGAGGTTTCACCATGTTGGCCAGGCTGGTCTCCAACTCTTGACCTCAGGTGATCTGCCTGCCTAGGCCTCCCAAAGTGCTGGGATTACAGGAGTGAGCCATCGCACCTGGCTTCACATTTTTACTTCTATCTTTAGAATAAAGATAATTAAATTTCAAAAAAAAAAAAAAAAGATTATGACATATAGATACCACTGTGCAAAGGTCAAGCCCCAGCATACACATTTGTATTCTGTCCAGTTCGAGAACTGCTCTCTAAAAGTGATGAGAAAAAGGGTCGAAGGAGGGAATGAAGATGATTAAAGAGCAGGAAAGTAAGATTCACAATGAAAACTTTAAAGAGTTTGGAGTTACTACTCTAGGAAAGGTTAGTTAAGAGCAACCTTAAAGTATGGGAAAGGATTACCATACAGAAAATGGTGACCTTTTTTTTCACCTTCTTTCATTCACTAAAGCAAAAACAAAGAAAATGGGTTAATTCTACAGTACAGGTAGTTAAGTTAACAGAAAAGAAAGTCATGACACAGAGCCTTGTGAACCACCAGCAAGGCAGTAGCAGCAAGATACTCTGATGCTTAAATTTTCTTTTAATCTGAAATAATTTTAGACTTACAGAAAAGTTACAAAGTATAAATAATTCCCTTATACAGGTTCCCCAATGTTAACATTTTATTACATTTGCTTTATCATTTTCTCTGTATATATATTATGTCTGAAGCTTTTGAGAGTAAGTTATAGACATGATTCCTCTTTATCCCTAAATACTTCAGTAGATACTTCCCCCAAAGACACTCTTACCCAACCACAGTAATATTACAAAAATGGAAAATTAACAGGGATATCATACTATTATTTAATCTACCAGACCTTTTTTTTTTTAGTTTTTCTGGTTCAGAATCATGTCTCTTAAAACTCCTTTAACAGCCAAAAGTTCTTCTTCAGTCTTTGTCTTTGATGGCTTTAATGTGTGTAAGAGTACAAGCCAGTTATTTTATAACCTATTCTTCAAGTTGGGTCTCTGGTGCTTAAAAACAAAACACAACAAAAAACCAGAATCTCAAAGTTTTGAGAGTTTTAGGTGTGGTCCTGAGCAAATACTTTAATAAACCTTTCTCCTCAAGGTTCCTTCCAGCCGCCTTACACTGATTATCCTTACTGAATTAGATTTGTAGATGGGAGTGATTGACAGTAAAACATTTTTTATTTGGAACTAATTGGCTCGAATTACATATATTCCAACTCTCCACCTAATTTAACAAAAGTAAGTTTGTTGAAGAATCGGCACCCACTCTTTAAAGTCTTAAATTACCCGCAGACTCCCCCATTTTGACAATCTCACCTCTTCAGCAATGAACTCTGCCCTAGGCTCAGAAGACAAAGCGCTGCAAAAATGGGTGTTACTCATTACAGTAATTCAACAAATATTTGTTGAGTGCTTAGTATATATCAGGCTCAGTTCCAAGCCCTGGGAATAAATTCGAGAACATTTAAAAAAAAAAAAAAATCCTCACCTTTGAAAATCTAGTTGGAAAGATTAACCTTTTTTGGAGATGGAGTCTCCCTTTGTCACCCAGGCTACAGTGCAGTGGCGCCATCTTGGCTCACTGCAACCTCCGCCTCCAGGGTTCAAGCGATTCTCCTGCCCCAGCCTCCTGAGTAGATGGGATTACAGGCGGAGCCACTAAGCCTGGCTAATTTTTGCATTTTTAGTAGAGACGGGGTTACCATGTTGGTCAGGCTGGTGTCAAACTTCTGACCTTGTGATTCGCTTGCATCGGCCTCCCAAAGTCCCGGGATTACAGCGTGAGCCACCGAGCCCGACTGGACTCACTTTTAAATTAAAAACAAAAACAAACAAACAAACAAACAACCCAGAAACCAGGGATTAGACTTCCTTAACCCATTTACGATGGAAGTTGCAATTTATTATTTGTGTGTGTGTGTGTGAGAGAGTGTGTGTGTGAAATATCAAACCTTGGCGATGACCTTGAGCAGCAGGATGTAAGTAACTCCCACAAGCATAGCATTTCAATAATGGAACACTAGCCATAAGTTAGGAAGAAGCCAAGTCTGTGTGAATATGGGCAACTCCAACACTCAAGATTCTAGTTTGGATACTGTTGCGGAATCCCTGGTAAACGCGCTGATTTAATAGTCTTCGGTTTATCCAAACGGGCTACACAAATGATTAATCCAAACTCCAAAGCCCTAGAAAGAACAGGCGGGGTCCGGCTTCCCCAAATGTTCCAACCACTTTTTCAGCAACAGTCGCCCACTTGGCGCCGAGCCTCCGGACCGCCGTGCGCTACCTGGAACACCCCGCGGGGGCCACGCACCGGGATCCGCGTCCCTGAGAGGCGGCACCTCCTGGGCCGGGCAGAGCAGAGCACCTGGGAACCGCGCACCGAGAGCCGCACGGGGAGGTGGCTAGCGGGAACCGGCTTCTCCAGGCGGCCTCGCCCACTGCAATGCAATCTGGGTGTTTTTTCCAGGTCCCTCCCTGCTTCGTTCCGCCCCCAGTGCCTGCCCCCGCGAAGCCGGAGGGCCTGGGCGGGTGGCTCGGAGTTATCCGAGCTCCAAGGAGGGAGACTGCTGCAAGCTCAGCAGCAACCGATATATAACTCCACACTCTGAAGCCCAGGACAGGGAAGCACCCGCCTCTGGAACTCAAGCAGATGAGGGAGGTCCCGTGCGCCGTCGCGGCGCTGCGAGTGTGGGACCCTGGCCTCCCCTGCTCTCAGGGGACTCGAGCTGCCACCTGCAGAGCGGGAGGCCCCGCCTCCGCCTGCACTTTCTCCTACCGGGAAAAGAGGCAGCGCGGGCCTCGGGCTGCTCTCCCCACTCCCGGAGTCTGAACCCCCATTGGGAAAGCCGGACCTCCAGTTTCCCCTGACAAGCGTCCTGAAAGGTTACAGGATTTGTACCCGGAGTGGATCCTGCAAGGATAGGTGCATGGTCGCCCATTTCATATCATGACTAGGAACGGGGCTGGACACTGGAGCCGAATTAGTAATACTTCAGACGAATTTCTGTTCCCAAGAACAAATCGCTTTGAAATACAAAGCCCGAGGAAACCGCACCTCTAGCGCCGTTCTCTTTAAAATGTCAACAAGACCCAACAACATACTGCCACCGACCTGGTGGCTGGGGGCGATGGTGGGGGCGCGAGCCTCTGGGCACACCAAGCTGAGGTAGAGCAGGGAGGTTGTCTGGGAGCTTGGTCAAGTCAGCACACTCCAGGTACAATGCCAAAAGCTTGAGCAGAGGGAATGGGGTCAGAGCGCAGAACCTGGGAAAAAGCCTGCTTGGCCCGATTTAAGAAAACTTTTATTAGGCATGCGGATAAATGGTTTTTATTTGGGGCCCAAGCAAATAAAACGAAATGGGCCCCAGCCCTGGAGGATGTTCCAGCCTCGAACTAACAGCCAGGACCAAACCAGACATAGCATTTAGAGTTGAGATAAAAAGGAGCAGGCTCCGTTGTGCCTTAATTTCCTTGCGGGGTCCCCAGCTGCTTTGCGCGCGGTGAGTAACTGCGTCCTAGGGCGTGACTCGGTACCTGGGCGTCCAGCCCCGGGCGTCCGGCTCTGCAGTGCGCGGGGGTTCCTCTCCGGAAAGCTAGCAGAGCTGCGGGTTTGGGACGAGAGCGCAACAGGGCTCCGGCCCGGAGAAGGGGAGGGCCAGCAGGATTTTTCCTGCTGTTTGCACTGAAAGGTGTGTTGGCCCAGGAGCGGCTTTTCCGGGGATCGCCAGTTGCCCCTGCCACCGCCCGGCTGCGGTTGACCGGTCCCTCCCTCCGCGGTTCGCTCTCCGCGGGCTCCGCGCCCTGGGCAACTCTGCGCCCCGGGCCTCACCTCTGGCCTCCTTTCGCCTCCCTGCACCTGGCCTTTTCGCTTCGCGCTTCAGAACCTTCAGCTTCGTTCCCCGCAGCCGGTCTTCTCCAAGCCCCCCGCACCTCTCGGTTACCTCCAGCGGGAACCCCTCCCCCCAGCGACTCCGGGCCCTTTACCTCTCAGAGCCCTTTTCCCGTCTGGCCTCGGCTACCCTCGGGGTGGCGACCGCCTTTTCCCCGCCCCTCCCTTCCCCTCCTCCTCCCTCGCCCTCGCCTCTCCATTCATCCTGCTATTGTCTCCCACCCCTTCCTCCACCTCCCCAAGCGGCCTCCTCCCCCACCGCTGCCACGTCGTGGTTTGAAGGAGCCAATGGGCCGGCGCCGCCAGGTGTCTCTTACCTGCACCACTTGGGGGAGGGGGAAGGGGCGGGCAGGTAGAGCCACATCCCAAAACAGAAAAGCTTTCAGCCATTGCGTGCCTCCCGGGGGTGCAGCCTTGCTCCAGGCTTTTTGCATAGACGCCCGGGCAATTGAATACAAAAAGGGCAGGCCTCCTGCCCCCTCCTTCCCACCTCCCTTCCTGCCCTGGGTGTGGAGCGCCGGCCAGGTGTGGGCTTGGGTGGTTGGTTACCGCCTTTTGCACCAGCAGCAGCGGGGCGGGGGGGGTGGGCGCTCTTTCTTTTTCTCTTAGACGAGGGTTTAGCACAGGTTTTTTCGTTCTCACTTCCACCCCACCTATCCGCCTCCCGACCCCCCTTCTCCCCCTCCCCACCTATCGTCATGACGGCCTCTCCGGATTACTTGGTGGTGCTTTTTGGGATCACTGCTGGGGCCACCGGGGCCAAGCTAGGCTCGGATGAGAAGGAGCTGATCCTGCTGTTCTGGAAAGTCGTGGATCTGGCCAACAAGAAGGTATTTCTCCACGTTTTTGTCTAGATGCAAGGGGTGGGGCAAGAAGTCTGCGGTAGAGGTTTGGGCGGGGAGGGGGCTGGAGGTAGATAAACATGCTCTCGTTTGCCCACTTGTTGAGTTTGGACCCGAGGCCTAGGGAAGCCGGAGTAAAACCAAGCTTGTTGGCCAACCGCCTTGAAGCCATTTCAGTCCTCCGCAGGCTGGCTCAGGTGGGGAGGCCAGCGCTACCGAGCCAGGTTCTTTGCCGGTCGGGGGACGCCCCGCCAGGACGAGGTGGGGTCTCGGAGGCCCCGGGTCCACTTTCAGGGCCTTTCCGACCTATCGGGTGGGGGTGGGGCGGGGGGCAGGAACGCGTCGGCCGCTGGAGCCGTTGGCGAGTCGAGAGCTTAGATTCTGCGTCCGGACCCCTAGAGAGGCGCGGCCGCCCCAGCAGGGGAGCGAGAGAGGAGGGAAACTGACCCCTGCTTCTCTCCCCTCGGAGGTGGGACAGTTGCACGAAGTACTAGTTAGACCGGATCAGTTGGAACTGACGGACGACTGCAAAGAAGAAACTAAAATAGACGTCGAAAGCCTGTCCTCGGCGTCGCAGCTGGACCAAGCCCTCCGACAGGTGACAGCCCCGGGCCACGCCGCCCACCCCAGCCCAGGGCCCAGCCCCACCGCACCCTACGCCCTCTCCGGGCCCACGCGTGTTCCCGGAGCACGGTGGCGACACGCCCGGCCGGGTGGGTGGCAGTCCAGCCTGAGGGCCGGGGCGCACCGATTGGGCGGGGGTCGCTGCTTGTCTTCACCTCCCAGTCCCCGGGGTTTGGGACCGACATTCACTAGTTTTCGAGTTGCTTCCTGAGTAGTTTCTGTCGGCAGTGAGTCAGCTCCATTTTGCCAGTTGATTGACGAGCGGAGTTTGAATCCTAGCGCCCCCATCTCCAGGTCCGGACCCCAGGCGCGCAGGTCGCCTGCTGGGTTTGGGTCTACGGCCTTCGAGCAGGGGGCGCTGTGGTGTAGACTTGCAGGCGGGCCCTGCGGGTGTCCAAGAATTAGCACAGTTTAGGTTGGAACCTGAAGGTGCCTGCCTGGTTTCAGGCTTTTGAACTCCCAGAGAAAGGCTCGGTCCCATCATTCTTTCTTTAGTGGCCTTGGTCACATTGCCAGGGAGGTTTTTCAGGTCCGAACGTGCAGGGCTGCCCGTTGGGTCACTGCGGAACTGATGGAATCCCCTTATTAGGACTGAGGTGACCTAAAAACCGGCTGTTCCAGGGTGCTGACGGGTGCCGGATCAGGTAGGGCGGGACGCTAAACACCTGTGCACAGACGAATGCCCTGCTCTCACGACCTCTGCCCCTAGAGCACGAGCTTTGAATTATAGGAGAAAGCCGTCCTTTCTGGGGTGTATTCATCCAAGACTTTCCAGATCCGTATACCCAATACCCGAATTTATTTATTAGAAACTGGTTATCTTTCTTAGGCCTGGCACATCCAAACATATAAGAAGTAACACTAGGGAATGATGTAACCTGAAGGCAACCTGCTGATGAAAAGAGACATCTGACTTAAGTCTAGAATGATTTTTTTCGTAAAAACAGAAAGGAGAATGCATTGACAAGTTTCTCCTGGGTGCAAACTGCCGATCGGTTGGAAAGTTTCTCTACCTCGAGGAAGCTAGTCGGTTTGTGGGAAAGGAGTCTGTCTTTCCAAGGTTGCACCAGCACCGGTGTCCCCCATCAGGGCCCTTATGGTGGTTTTCTCTGGCTATCACCAAAGGGAGTTGCTTGGCAGAGTTTGTAAATCGTGCATCAGTTTCATCCGTGTGTGTCTCTTGTCCTTGCAGTTTAACCAGTCAGTGAGCAATGAACTGAATATTGGAGTAGGTACTTCCTTCTGTCTCTGTACTGATGGACAGCTTCATATCAGGCAAATCCTGCATCCTGAGGCTTCCAAGAAGGTAAGAAGGCTGGCTTCTGGAAAAAATGGTTAGACTTTTGGAGTGACTGGAGGTTTTTAAAAAATGTTTGGTTTATTTAAGTTTCTCTGTTTTTAAAAGGGTGCATATGGGAGTTATTTAATGAGTACAGAATTTCAGTTTGGGAAGATGAAAAAGCTCTGGAAATGGATGGTGGTTATGGTTGCAAAATATGTTAATGTACTTAATGTTTTACTGAACCATTCTCTTTAAAAATTATTAAAATGGTAAATTTGGTGTTATACAAAGATACTCTTTGGTGACTTAAAATAGTCTCGTTTACATCCAGTTTTCAAGATGCACGACACTCCCTTTTCCAAAGCTAATATGGAGTGTGAATTTTCGACATTTAAAATAACTACAAATAGAGAGGAAAGAACTATTTTTAGTATGTCATAACATCTCCATTGGTGTTGAAAATGCTGTCTCCTAGAAAGGAAGGAAAACAGACTTAAACCTTTTAAGTTGTATTTCTAATTTCATTAAAAAGGCTACTTAAATAAGACAGCCTTATATCTAGTGAAACCACAATCATAGCACACTTCACTTTGTCTGATTTTAAGTAAGTGTTCGAAACTGATTGTTGCATCAAAACAAAAGGGTCAGCTTTATCTTTTACCTTTGCTAATTTTTCTGATATTGAGAGGGCTACAGAGTGAGAGATATACAGTCTTGCTATAGCAAAAAGTGATTTCTCTCCCTAGGATAAATACTGAGGAGCTATGGAAAAAGGAACAGCAGAGACAACCCACCCAGTGTAGCCAATCATTGCTAATACACTTTCTCTTAACAACTTAAATTAGTTTGAGCTGTAACTTTTTAATGTGGTAGGCAGGCACTCAGCTTGAAAAGCTGGAAGTAGAATATATTTAGGTACCTGTATGAGGCAAGGCTTACAATGAAGGATATAGACTGACAAATTATGATATAGGCAAATAGGCACAGATTTCATTTCGTTTAATGTATTATGACAATTTTGAAAGTTTGAAAGGAGAAACTCAAGTTCTTACATCTTTAGAAAATCAGTCCTTTTATAGGAGTCCTAGTAATTATTTGATAAAAGGGGAAGAATTTTTGAAAATAATAAATGGTAGACTAGTTGCTACATCCTTTTTCCCTCCCAAACTCACATGAGAGGACAAGACTTAATCTTTTCCCTGTTGGGTCAGAGGAAAACAGCTGTTTTCATTATTTAGGTGGACTGCTTTAGGTGGAGGAAAACATCCAGAGAAAAATTAAAAGTTATCCAAGCCGGGCGTGGGGCTAACGCCTGTAATCCCAGCACTTTGGGAGGCTGAGGCGGGTGGATCACGAGGTCAAGAGATCGAGACCATCCTGGTCAACATGGTGAAACCCCATCTCTACTAAAAATACAAAACATTAACTGTGCATGGTGGCACATGCCTGTAATCCCAGCTACTCAGGAGGCTGAGGCAGGAGAATTGCCTGAACCCAGGAGGCGGAGGTTGCGGTGAGCCGAGGTAGCACCATTGCATTCCAGCCTGGGTAACAAGAGTGAAACTCTGTCTCCAAAAAAAAAAAAGTTATCCAATTCTGGGTTATTTTGTTAAAATAATAATAGTGTAATATTTGTCCATACAGTTAAGTTTTGCTTAGTAGCCCACAGTAAGTGGTACCAGTAGCTAAGAAACAGCAGGTAATGATTTCTCCTTTGCCTTTGGGATTTGTGAGTTTGTTTTTCTTTGAAGTCTAATTTGAGTTCACAGGTGTAGCTACAATATTGGTCAAGAAGGCTAATGTGGGAGACTACTATTTGGCTCAAAAATAAGCCTTTTCAGTTAATCAGGAATTTGCTATTCTAATCTCACCTATTACTGAAAATACGCATTATTAGAACCCAATAGTTAGAATTACCTGGTTTTACAACCTAATTCCACATCTGTATGAAAACTGAGAGGGATGCTAGTGCTGCCTGAAAATACAGATGTTCTAAAAGGGTTGTGGCTGGAAAAAAGAGTAATATTACCAGCCAGAAAGGCCGGGCGCGGTGGCTCAAGCCTGTAATCCCAGCACTTTGGGAGGCCGAGGCGGGTGGATCACAAGGTCGAGAGATCGAGACCAACCTGGTCAACAAGGTGAAACCCCGTCTCTACTAAAAATACAAAAAATTAGCTGGGCATGGTGGCGCGTGCCTATAATCCCAGCTACTCAGGAGGCTGAGGAAGGAGAATTGCCTGAACCCAGGAGGCGGAGGTTGCGGTGAGCCGAGATCGCGCCATTGCACTCCAGCCTGGGTAACAAGAGCGAAACTCCGTCTCAAAAAAAAAACAAAAACAAAAACAAAAATATTACCAGCCAGAAAATAATGAAGTATAACAGCCCAAATGTATCACAGCTTCACAATTGTGTCAAATGGAATGCATACTGGAACAAAAACATTGTAATCCACTGCCTTAAGAGGAATTTTTTTTCTTGAGTCTTGTACATAGGATCTAATACAGAAACAGGACCAGCTTTTAAAAATAAAGCCACTCTTAAATTTTTTTCCAAAGTAAAATGTGCTTATATTCAAGTTTCAGGTTTCTAATTATGAGAGAAATGTTGAACCAAATTCACCTAGTTAACAGTATCTACTTTGTCCTTCCTCAGAATGTACTATTACCTGAATGCTTCTATTCCTTTTTTGATCTTCGAAAAGAATTCAAGAAGTGTTGCCCTGGTTCACCTGATATTGACAAACTGGACGTTGCAGCAATGACAGAGTGTATCCTTTAAATCATTATCCAAGAATCATTTGAAAAGATAGCTCCAAAAAAATGGTAATTCAAAAAACTCAAACGTTTTAAACTTTGTCAGCATATGGATAAAATTGGCTTGTCCGAAATTTTTCTACTCTGCTGAGAAACTAGTAACACAATTATAGATATCTTTGAAAGTAGTTAATCAAATGGTTGGATGGATTTGGAGACCGTTGTTTTGTGTGTGTGTGTGAGGTGATCACATGTAAAATAGGATTCAGTTTCAGATTATGGAATGGGTGTGTGTGTGTGTGTGTGTGCTGGAAAAAGAGCATGTAGCCTTTCTTTAGTGCAGATTCTAAGACCACTTTTTCTTGGTTACTGTGGTTTTAGGGTTTATTTTGGCTTCTTTGGAATGAAGTCAAATAATTTTTTAAATTAGTGAGTATATCCCCTTTTCAAACTGCTGTTTACTGGTCCCCACCTTTAGCTTTCCCTGAGTTTTTCAAATACATACAAGATTATGCTGATTATAAAAAAACATCTTTGGAGATGATAAAATGGGGTCTGGATTGTCCCCCATATTCTTTAGTTCCGAAAATAATATATTTAATATATGATATATTATGAAAGTAATTTTATAATTACAGATCTATAATCATGAATGAACCATCATCTTAACATCCACACACTTAACACATCTTTAAAGTGCTAACTAATAAGCCGGCAGGTGCTAACATATCAGATGTAAAATTGAGTAATTGTCACCTGAGGTGGCTTCCCAAAAGCCACTGTGAGAGTCATCATGAAGTTAAAACTAAGTTACCTTCAGTAACTTGTGGGTTGCAGATGCTTATTCTCAAACTTTCTCATTCATTTTTAGGAACTAAAGCCTGGTTTTTGTGCTACTTCAATTTCTTTTCCTGATTGAAGTTTGCTGTATGTTTTTCATAACTTCTTGTAGACTGGTCAAATCCATTTTTATTCGCCTCCTTCCTAGAGTCATTTAGCTGGAATTTTGGCTTAGCATCGCCAGTAGTGTTGGGAAGGCCGGGTGCGGTGGCTCACGCCTGTAATCCCAGCACTTTGGGAGGCCGAGGCGGGCGGATCACAAGGTCAAAAGATCGAGACCATCCTGGTCAACATGGTGAAACCCCGTCTCTACTAAAAATACAAAAAATTAGCTGGGCCTGATGGCATGTGCCTGTAATCCCAGCTACTCAGGAGGCTGAGGCAGGAGAATTGCTTGAACCCAGGAGGCGGAGGTTGCCGTGAGCCGAGATTGCGCCATTGCACTCCAGCCTGGGTAACAAGAGCAAAACTCCATCTCAAAAAAAAAAAAAAAAAAGAAATAGAAAAAGATGACTTTGGCTGGATGCGGTAGCTTCTGTCTGTAATACCAGGACTTTGGGAGTCTAAGGAGGAAGGATGGCTTGAGATCAGGAATGCTGACACCAGCCTGGGCATTATTGCGAGAACCCATCTCTACGAAAAGTAAAATGAAAATATTTTAAAAAGCGAAAAAGATAGCTTCAGCAGGAAAGGAAGTATATTAAAGATTGTTATGTTGGGCGATATCGGGAGACACTATGTCAACAAAAAAATTAAAAATTAGCCAAACATGGTTGCACAAGACTGTAGTCCCAGCTACTTAGGAGGCTGAGGTGCAAGGATTGCTTGAGCCCAGGAGGTTGAGGCTGCAGTGAGTCGTGATTGTGCCACTGCACTCCAGCCTGGGTAACAGCAAGACCCTGTCTCAAAAAAAGTAGATTTTATTCTCAAATGTTGTAACATTTAACATGATACTCGTACATGTCTTTCTCATTTAATAATTTAGAAATGCTAGTAAGCTTTCTTAGCAACAGTTTTTGTGTACATTACTGCTGTGGTCAGTTATTTTATGACTGCTATTCAGAGGAATACTTATTTCCCTGTCTAGGCTACCAGATCAATTTCTGAGGCCAAAAGCAATTATGTCAAATCTGAATACCAACTTGTGCTTATATATGCAAAGTATTTCTACAATGTCTGAATTGAAGAATTGTTCTGTTCTTTCAGAGCACTAAACATTTTCCTTGCTAATATGGAAGTGATGCTCAACTCAGAAATTTAGTCATTAAACATTCTTGATGGTTTTGCCAAGTGGACAGAGGGTCATTTGCTCTTGAGGGATTACCTGTTTCACCTGGTAAACCAGTGAGGGAGGAAGACAGGGTTCTGTAAACACCTGGAGAAAAGCAGACAAGAAAATGTGTAGGTTGAAGTGTTTCTTTTGTTGTTGTGAAATATTTGTATCCTTGATTGGTTGCTTTAAATGAGGATACAGAAACATCAGTTTGTACCCTCAGTGACGTCACAGTATTCTAAGTGTATTGGAAGCATGTTTTATTAACTTTACATCCAAGTAAATTTAAATTTTTTTTCTTTTTTTTTTTTTCTTTTTTGAGACAGAGTTTTGCTCTGTTGCCCAGGCTGGAATGCAATGGCATGGTCTTGGCTTAGTACAACCTCTGCTTCCTGGATTCAAGTGATTCTTCCTCAGCCTCTTGAGCTGAGATTACAACACCTGCCACCATGCCCAGCTAATTTTTGTATTTTTAGTAGAGACAGGTTTTACCATGTTGGCCAGGGTGGTCTCGAACTCCTGACCTCATGATCTACCCACCTCAACCTCACATAGTCCTGGGATTACAGGCATGAGCCACTGCGCCCGGCCCAGAGTTTTTAACAAAAACTTCATTTTTGACTGGGCATGGCAGCTCATGCCTACAATCCCAGCACTTTGGGAGGCTGAGGCGGGTGAATCACTTGAGGTCAGGAGTTCAAGATCAGCCTGACCAACATGGTGAAACCTGGTCTCTACTAAAAATACAAAAATTAGCCAGGCATGATGGCACGCATCTGTAATCCCAGCTACTCGGGAGGCTGAAGCAGGAAGAATAACTTGAACCTAAGAGGCAGAGGTTGCAGTGAGCCCAGATCATGCCAGTGCACTCCAGCCTAGGTAACAATGTAAAACCAAAAAAAAAAAAAAAAAAAAAAAAAAATCATTTTTAGAGATGGGTCTTCATATATTGCCCAGGCTGCTCTCAAGCTCCTGGCCTGAAGCCATCCTCCTGCCTTGGCCTCCCAAAGTGCAGGGATTATAGGTGTGTGCCACCGTATCCTAGCCTCATTCACTTTTTAATTAGAAGACTTTTTTTTTTTTTTTTTTGATTCAGTCATGCTGTGTTACCCAGCTTGGTCTCAGACTCCTGAGCTCAAGCGGTTCTCCTGCCTCAGCCTCCTGAGCAGTTCAGACTACAGGTACACCTGCAGTACCTGTAATCTCAACTTTTCATTATTATTTCTTTGTTTGAGACGGAGTCTCCCTCTGTTTCCCAGACTGGGGTGCAGTGACGATCTCGGCTCACTGCAACCTTTGCCTCTTGGGTTCAAGTGATTGTCTCACCCCAGGCTTCCAAGTAGCTGGGATTACAGGTGCCCACCACCACACCCAGCTAATTCTTGTATTATTAGTAGAGGTGGGGTTTCGCTATGTTGGCCAGCCTGGTCTCCAACTCCTGACCTCAGGTTATCCACTCATCAGCGTCCTAAAGTGTTGGGATTATAGGCGTGAGCCATCTCACCTGGCCCCAACTTGATTTTTTAGACCAGTTTTAGGCTCAGTGCAAAATTGAGCAGAAAGTATAGAGTATTCCTATATAACCCTTATTGCACACATACATACATACTCTCTCTCTCACTCCCCTATTGTCAACATGCTGTACCCCACTAAGCAGAAAGTATAGTGTTCCTGTAGAACCCTGGTTCTCTCTCCCTCTTTCTCTCATCCCCTCCCTCCCTTCCTCTCCTCCTTTCCCCCTGACCCCTCACTGTTGATGTGCTATACCGGAATGGGGCATTTGTTACAGCTAATGAGCCTACATTGACTTGTCATTATTACTGAAAATTCATAGTTTATATTGGGGCTTACTTTTGGTCTTGTATATTCTATGGATTTCAACAAATTTGTAATGACATCTATCTACCATTATAGTATCAGAATACATTGTAGTAATAGCATAGTCTAGAATTGTGTTTTTGGTTTTTTGTTTTGTTTGTTTTGTTTTGTTTTGTTTTGTTTACTGGCTACCTTAAAGTCTTTTATTTCTAACAGAATAGTTGTTTTTTTTTTTTTTTTTTTTTTTTTTTTGAGACGGAGTGTCGCTCTTGTTACCCAGGCTGGAGTGCAATGGCGCGATCTCGGCTCACTGCAACCCCCGCCTCCTGGGTTCAGGCAATTCTCCTGCCTCAGCCTCCTGAGTAGCTGGGATTACAGGCATGCACCACCATGCCCAGCTAACTTTTTGTATTTTTAGTAGAGACGGGGTTTCACCTTGTTGACCAGGATGGTCTCGATCTCTTGACCTCGTGATCCACCCGCCTCGGCCTCCCAAAGTGCTGGGATTACAGGCTTGAGCCACCGCACCCGGCTCTAACAGAATACTTGTATTGACTTAAGAACCCTCTGTACTTTGGCCAATCATTCCTTTCTGTCCCTTAACCTCTGACAACACCAATCTTTTTTTTTTTTTTTTTTGAGACGGAGTTTCGCTCTTGTTACCCAGGCTGGAGTGCAATGGCGCGATCTCGGCTCACCGCAACCTCCGCCTCCTGGGTTCAGGCAATTCTCCTGCCTCAGCCTCCTGAGTAGCTGGGATTACAGGCACGCGCCACCATGCCCAGCTAATTTTTTGTATTTTTAGTAGAGACGGGGTTTCACCATGTTGACCAGGATGGTCTCGATCTCTCGACCTCGTGATCCACCCGCCTCGGCCTCCCAAAGTGCTGGGATTACAAGCTTGAGCCACCGCGCCCGGCCTAACACCAATCTTTTTACTGTCTCTCTACTCTTGCCTTTTCCAGGAGGTCATATAATTGGAATCATGTAGTATGTAATCTTTTCAGATTGTCTTTTTAGCCACTTTGAGATTCCATGTCTTTTTGTGGCTTTATAGTTCCTTTTTAGCATTTAATTCCATTG